ACTGAAAGAGCTATGCTTGGAATATCACGTTTCACTCAAATGAGAGAAAGAATCCTGAGTTCTGACATCCATCAATGATCAAGAATCAGGGATGCTGTCTCATTTGCCAAGGTGTCAAAAATCAGATGGGCTGGTTACGTAATGAGATTAAAGACGACCGCTGGACTAGAGCTGTTACTAACTGGATTCCACGGGATGTCAAAAGACTGCGTGGCCGCCCACCTACCAGATGGTCAGACTTCTTCATCAAAATCATGAATGATTGGTTTGAGGCTATTCATGTTCCCAGAGCAAACAGATGCTATTGGGCTACACTAGCACCCAACAGGGACAAATGGAGATGTTACTGGCGCCCGCTTGAGCAAATCGACGACTAATGGGAAGTTTAGTGATTAAGTGATTAATATTGTCAAAATGGCAATACTTTCAAAAGCACTGTACAAATTCAATGTGATCCCTACTAGGATACCCATGACATTCTTCAAAGAAATGGAGCAAACACTCCTGAAATTTATATGGAACAATAAGCTCCCATGAATAGCTAAAGCAATTCTTGGGAAAAAGAAAATGGGAGGAATTAACCTCCCGAACCTCAAACTCTACTACAAAGCAGTAATAATTAAAACAGCATGGTACTTGAACAAAGGCAGAGCTGCAGACCTATGGAAGAGGGTTGAATATACTGACATCTCCCCTCAAACAGATGATCATCTAATCTTTGATAAAGGAGCAAGAAATGCGAAGTGGAGTAAGGAAAGCCTTTTTAACAAATGGTGCTAGCAAAACTGGATGGCTACAAGCAAAAAACTGGGCTCAGATCTCTGCCTAGCACCATGTACAAAAGTAAGATCAAAATGGATCAAAGACCTCAACATCAGACAGGAATCCATAAGGTACATTGAAGACAAAGTTGGGTTGGCAAAACCCTCCATGACATTGAAGCTAATGGTATCTTCAAAGATGTCACACCACTGGCCAAGCAAGTGAAAACAGAGTTAGACAAATGGGACTATCTTAAACTAAGAAGCTTCTGCACTTAGAAACAGTGATCAAAGTGTCCAAAGAAACAGTGACCAAAATACAAAGACAGTCTACAGAATGGGAAAGGATATTCGCTGAATACACATCTGACAAGGGGTTGATATCCAGGATATACAAAATACTGGTTAAACTCCACAAGAAGAAAACATCCAATCCCATCAAAAAGTGGGGCGACGAAATGAACAGAAACTTTCACAAAGAAGAAATCCGAATGGCTAAAAGGCACATGAGTAAATGCTCTACATCATTAATCATCAGGGAGATGCAGATCAAAACAACAATGGGATATCATTTCACACCACAGAGACTGGCCCACATTCAAAAGAACAAAAGCAACCGGTGTTGGCGCGGATGTGGCGAGAAAGGGACCCTCCTTCACTGCTGGTGGGAATGACGACTGGTTCAACCCTTTTGGAAAACAGTATGGACGATTCTCAAAAAATTAGAAATTGAGCTCCCATATGACACAGCAATACCACTCCTGGGAATATACCTCGGAGAGGCAAAAAAGTATAGTTGAAGTGACATCTGCACTTGTTTGTTCATTGCAGCACTGTTTATAATAGCTAGAATATGGAAAAAACCTGAGTGCCCGAGAAAAGATGACTGGTTAAAGAAACTTTGGTACATCTACACAATGGAGTACTATGTAGCTGTTAGAAAAAAAATGAAGTCATGAAATTTATATACAAGTGTTACTACATGGAAAATATCTTGCTAAGCAAAATGAGTCAGAAAGAGAGGGACAGACATAGACAGATTGCATTCATCTGGGTAACATTGTCACTGTCACTGTCCTCCTGTTGTTCATCGATTTGCTCGAGCGGGCCCAGTAACATCTCCATTGGAGACCTTGTTGTTACTGTGTCTTGCATATCGAATACATCACGGATAGCTTGACAGTCTCTGCTGTGCGGGTGAGATACTCTCGGCAGCTTGCCGGGCTCTCCGAGGGGGGCGGAGGAATCGAACTCGGGTCAGTCATGTTTGCTGCGTGCAAGGCAAAGGCCCTACCGCTGTGCTATCGTTCCAGCTCCTGGGTAACATAAAGTAACAAAATAAGAGACTAACACCCAAGAACAGCTGTGATAAATACCAGGTTGTTCATTCCATGGCTTCGAGACCACCACACACTCTAGGGGTAAAGGCAGCTCAGATAGAGAAGGGGGCACCAAATAAAGGTTGCTGGGAAGATCCGCCCAGGATGGGAGATGCATGCTGAAAGTAGACTATAGACCAAATATGATTGCCACCCAATGCCTCTTCTGCAAACCACAGCACCCCAAAAAGAGAGAGCAAAAGGGAGTGCCCTGCCACAGAGGCAGGGTGGGATAGGGGATGGGGGGGTGGGAGGGATACTGGAATTGGTTGAGGTGGAGAATAGGCACTGGTGGTGGAATGGATACTCGATCATTGTATAACTGAAACCCAAGCACAACAACTTGTAAGTCTACAACTGTACCTCATGGTGTTTTACTAATAAAACAAAAAATAAATAAAAAAAATAAAAACAGTAACAACAAGCACTGGTGATAATAAATAATAAATCACAACAGTGCTACGTTTCTGGTGCCTGCTCAAACAAATCGATGAACAGGAGAGTGCTACAGTGGACAGTGTAATGAATCACCGTGAGGTACAGTTACAGATTTGCAAACTTTCCTGCTTCCGTCAAACACCTGTCTTTAATCCCTACCTAAATGCAAAGTATTTAAGCAAATTCAGTGTTTCAATGAAGTACACAAGGTCCCTGAAAATGAATGTCCCAGTGGTTAAGTCAAGCGGTCTGTACTAATTAGAGCTTAGAACCCTGACTTCACCATTCCTGTCTTTGTAATGCTGGGGAACTTACATAACCTTTTTACTTCAGTATTTCAGTTGTGGTGCCAAGACTTTCCTCAGAGCTACTGATGCCAACTAGATGATTTTGTGGTTTATTTGGCAAAGTTGTTCACCAAAATACGTGCAATCAAGACTATGAGGAGAGAGCAGGTCGAGGGGCAATGCAGCCTCCATCTTCATCATGTGAGCTCAGTGGTTCATTCTTTCCACCTTCTTACTGATTTCTAAAATGTACCCAATAAGAGGGCTGGAGCAATAGCACAGCAGGTAGGGCATTTGCCTTGCACTTGACTGACCTGGGTTCGATTTCTCCTTTCCTCTCGGAGAGCTCAGCAAACTACCAAGAGTATCCTGTCCGCATGGCAGAGACTGGCAAGCTCCCCGTGGCTTATTTGATATGCCAGAAACAGTAACAAGTCTCACAATGGAGACATTACTGGTGCCCGCTCGAGCAAATTGATGAACAACAGGACAACAGCGCTACAGTGCTACACAATAAAGGTCATAACAGATCTTACTGGGGATCAGTTTTTTTCTTGACTAATCTGTAAATACCATTTAAAGTACAAGGAATTTAGCTCTCTGGAAAGAAAGATGGCGGCCGCACGGGAGCCTTGTGAACAGCAGGTTTGAGTTGGGGGGGGCGGCAGGGACCTCATGGGAAGGGCGCGTTCTGGGCCGTCCTTCACGCCCGACCGAGGTCGCCAGCTGCCCCCCACGAGCGTCTCTCTGGCACGGCCATGACTCCAGGGCACAGAAACCAATCTCTTAACTATCTAACTTTTAATAGAAATTCTTCCAGGGTCAATAAGTAAAATAGCAGAAATCCAAAACCGCGCGGCCGCTATTGCGGCCGCACGACATCATTTTATTCTTAAACCAAGTTATAGAAAGCAAATCATTTCACAACGCTGTTTCAGCATGTCTGATTGGGCGGGGGGTCGTAAACTCTAAACAATAATTGTGCATCTTCTATCTAAACGATGTATCTAGTCAAAGTAGATAGAGTATTAACTAGAACTCATCTGCCTCACAGGAATTGGGAGGGGTGGGAGGTGGGGTTCTATTGGGGTTCGTGGTTAAAAATAAGTATTGGTAAAGGGAAATGTGTTTGATATTTACATGACTGAGACCTAAACCCGAAAGCTCTGTAACTTTTCCCACAGTGATTCAATAAAGAAATAAATTATAAAAAATAAATAAAGTACAAGGAATTTAGATGGGTCTTTTTTCTTTTTTCAAGTTGGCCACAGCTGGCAGTAATTAGGGGCTAGTCCTGGCTAGGGTTATTCTCAGCAGTGTTTAGAGACTGATGGTACTAGGGATCATACTGATGGCTTCTGTTACAAAGCATGTGCTTCATTCAGTTCTTGAAGCCCTCAGCCCAGCTTTTTTTAGATGGCCTCTTATACAGTTCAGAGCATCTTCTCTTTTTTCCCTTCTTTATTTTGACATTTAGCTTCTGGTAATGTATTGTGAGCTGTTGAATAAAGAGAATGCCAGCAGTGCTCAGAAGCTAATCCCATTTCTGTGCTCAGGGGTCACTTTTTGGTAGTGTTTGGGGAACCATATGGTGCTGGGGATCAGATCCAGGCTTCCTACATGCAATCAACACAATCAATCCATTGAGCCATCTCTCCAGCTCCAATATAAAGAAACTTTGCCTCTGAATTTAACCTAAGAGAAGAGAGGCTGGAAATCCAGTGGGAATTGTATCACCATACAGAGTCTGGCTCTGTGTTCAGGAATCACTCCTGTCCATGTTCAAGAAACCGTATGCGGTGCCGAGGATCAAACCTAGGTTAGCTACATGCAAGGCAAACACCCTGCACGTACTATCGCCCCAGTCTTGAGAATGAGAGATTAAAAGAGGACCTTAAAGCCATGTTTGATCCCTGAAACCACCAGCGCCAGACTGACTTGGGACCTTTCCATTACCTAAAGCAGTGAATATCTTATTCCAGTTCCTTTTGGTTGGGCTTTCTGTTCCAATAGAAGTGGTTCTAGTTTAAAGAATTGGGGTGGGGGAAATAATGCAGGGATTATCAGGGAATCGGGAAATCTCAGGGGAAGGGAGAAGGGATTCTTGGTTTCATAATGTTTCCAAGTACACTTACTGTGCCGTAGGCTCCCTTCCCAAGGATCTCACCCTTGGTCCAGAGGGTAGGTTCTTCACACTTTAAATTATTTTCAGAAAATGTCTTATTTCCATTTGATTTGAGATATTTCTCCTCCTTATTATATATTCTGAACCCATTATTATATCCCTGGAAGAATGAGACAAAAAGAGAAGTCACTATTCAATACTGGGGTCCTTTCACATTTTCATCTTATTTTAATCTTGTTTATGTCTCATGAATGAAAGATACGAGCTTTACTTTTAGGCCAAATCACCAAGCCTTCCTTTAAAATGTACCAATCTTCCCCATTCTTATTGTTTGCGGTCAATATTGAGATATACAGATCCCCCAAACCCCCAAATGGCCAGGCAGTTGTATACCTTAGCCATGTTCATTGAGGCAGAATGGGTGAGTGGGGAAGACCCTGAGACGATGCAGAGAAACCGGCACTATGGTAGGGGATATAGTGTTGAAATGTCACATTCATGAAACCCAATCACTGGCAGTATTATAAAATTGTAAATTACAGTGATTGAAATAAAAATTTTCTTAAATGCAGTCGCACAAATGTATGCATGAAAAAATTATATGTAGACTATAAATCTAATTGGACTTATTTGCAGGCAGACAGATAGAGGACTCCTGGTAATGAGCTGTGGGGAAATAATAAATCTTAAGAAATTTCCCACTCTGAAGTAGCCCAAACTTATGAGGAACACAATCCTTTGAGATGGACAGTCTTGTGCTCTTTGGAGACGAAAAAGCTGAGGCACCACCCAGATGCTCCCACTCAGAGATGGGTGGACCCTTTGGAAATGGGGAAGTTACAGGAGAATCTAAAGGGCATCATAAGAATATGGAAGGAAGGCTAGAGGGATAGTACAGCAGGTAGGGCACTTCAGGTGCATGAGGTGAGGCGACCCAGGTTCAATTCCTGGCACCACATATGGTACCAAAGCCCACCAGGACTGAGCTTAGAGCCAGGCATAAGCTCTGAGCACTGCCAGGTGTGACTCCGAAACAAAACCAAAAAACATAAAGAATATGAAAGGACTGGAGCTGGGGTGATATTACAGCGGGTAGGGTTCTGGTCCTTTGAGCCCTGAGCACAGAGCCAGGAGTAACCCCTCAGCATCACCTAGTGTGACTCAAACTGCCCCCTCCTCACTCCACCACATACACAGAAAAAAAAGACCATCAAAAGTGCAAGTCTTTGTGGCCAGAGTGATAGTATCACAGGTAGCCAACCGAGATTTAAGTCTCAGACCCCATATGGTCTCCTGAGCCCACCAGGAGCGATTCCTGAGCTCAGAGGCAGGAGTAATCCTTGAGCACCATCAGGTGTTCCCCCCATCCCACAAAAAAAAAGGAGTGTAAAGCCATAACAATTTGGAGAAATTATATATAATTTTTCCCTAAGTGCCATTCTCTGCCTTTTCCACTCTGGAAAAGCCCGTGTTTGTTCTTTACGTATCTCTCCTTGTCGCCCCTCCCATTTCTCTAAATTTCTTCAATAAAAACTGTTTAGCTTTACAATTTCGCCTCCTTCTAAAATTTTCTGCTAGGGAAGGTGACCAACCTGGAATGCTTAGAGGTTGGAGGTTAGACCTGATTTTCCCTTTCCTTCACAGAGGAATTCCTCACCCAACCTCAGCCCACCAGCTCCTGCACCACATAGACCAACTGAACTTTAGGAGTAGTAAATTTGGGGGGGGGGGGGAGGGGCAAAGGGTGGTGGAAGCTTCCCAAGTAGTGCTCAGGGAGTCTGAAGGCCAGTTCCAGCAACTATTGGCCAACTGAGTGGTATGGTTGAATGCTTGAACCTGGGACACAGAGTTGCCTGTGGCACCAGGACCACCAAGATCACTGCAACAGTGTTTATGTACCATCAGGGTTACAGCTGGAGGTACTTGGGGACTTCCAAGGCTATATTCAGTGATGCTCAGAGATCATATGGTGTACAGGATCAAACTATGTCCAAATTCATGCCTTGCCCTAACCCCTATCTCCCCTGCTCCATTAGCAGAAGACTTTATTTATTTATTTATTTTAGCAGAAGACTTTAACACTCTATGTTCACCATTCTATCTGTGAAATGCAAATCAAAATGGCAATGAGATAACACTTCATACCAGCAAGAATAGCCTATTATCAATAAACCAGAAAAACAAATGCTGGTGGGAATTGTGGAGAAAAAAGGATCTTCACTCACTACTGATGAGAATAGAAATTGGTTCTGCCTCTTTGGAAAAGAGTATGAAGACTTAGAAAAAAATTAAACATTATCCAGCAATTCCACTCCTAGGTATTTATCCAAAGATCACACACAAAATGGCCAGAGTGATTGCTCAGCAGACTACTGTGCATGTTTTGAGCACTGGAGGTGACAGTTAAAATCCCAGTACCCAAATGTCCTGTCACTTCCACTGCAATGACCTGAAAGCAGAGAGCCAGAAGCATACCCCTAGCACCACCAGGTGTGGCCCTCCAAGCACAAAAGCAACAACGGTAAGAATACACAACCCTGACTCACAAAGATATGCTTCCCTATGTTCATCTTAGCACCACTTATGGTAGTCAAGAACTGGGAAGAAGCCAAGTGTCCAACAGATGAGGGAGTTAAGAAGAGAAGCTATGAGCAACAGTGGAATATATTATTTACTCTTAGAAAACATGACATCTCATGCAACCTTTAACAATGATTTACCCATAATGATCTCTCTGATATTTGTTGATTAAAATCATCACTGAATAGAATGTTGACCTGCTTTGCCATATTACTATTTGCTGTATAGTTTTGTTACATTACTGTACTCCAAAAGTATTCTATTGCAGTGCCAGGCTAGTTAAATGAGATGGCATAACCAGAGTATATTATTTACTTGAAGAATCAGGGGATCTAGATCCCAACCTTGAAATCAAACAGTGGGCCCCTGAGGAAGGTATTTAATTATTTAAGGTTTCTTATACCTCTTTGGAAAATAAGGTATTTGAACCAGATGGTTTTTGATGATTCCTTCCAACCCCAAATTAGTCTCCAATTCTAATGACACCAACCTGTATCTCAACATCTGTTGTCTCCCTGACCAATTCTTCTCTTGTATTTTCACTCCCACCAAAGAGAAGGTTTATGTTTTCAGGATCTGTTTCATTTGCCATTATTTGGAAAGTCTCATTATCTTTCTCATCAAGAGCGAGCAGTTCTGCAGCAAGACAACCTAAGAGTTCATCTGTCAATTCTTCATTCTCTAGAGAGTCTACAATAGCTTGGGAAGTTGGGTTTGCATCACTTAATGTTTGTCCAAAGCTTTGATATATAACTGACTTATCAACTAAACTATCCTCATCCCAGGAATGTGCCCAGTGTTGATATATCTGGGGAGATGCATTTTCTTGTTTCTCTTGGAAAGAGAAACTTATGAGGGTTTTAGGTTTATTAGGGACACAATCAAATTCTAGATCATTAGGTAAAATTTGGTTGGCACTTATTTTACCAAGAGATGCTGTATCCTCCTCCTTCTGTAGTATCTGCTTGTTGGAATTCTTCTCACTGGGCAATACCCAGCTGTTTTCTGAGAGGAAAAATGGGGCCTGGTGATGTAGCTGTTCAAGTTCATGCAGATCCCTGAGGCTTGCAGCAAGTATTTGATTGTTAGAAATGTCTCCTTCATCAAGAGACTCTTCCATAGAGATTTCTTCAATAATAGACAAATTTGAGACAGGAAGGAATTCATTCTGTTTGATGGGCCGTTCATGAGTCTGAGTCAAGTTTGTGAGCCTAACCTCATCTCTGGGGGGAAGAAAGTCTGTTTCCGAAGATGTTCCCTGCCACTCTTGCTCTGAAATACCATTATCGTTTTCAGCGTCTGGTATGCTACTGCCTATAGCCTTGCATCCTTTTTCTTCAGAAGTTAAACTTTTGTGCTTTTTTTTGATGCCAAGGGAGGGCTTTGTGGGCTTAATATGTGGCCTTTTCTGAGGTAGTCTTGCTCTGCTATTGCTATTCCTTTCACTGTGTGAAGTCCGGCATTTATTGGTGATGCTTCTGCCAAGTGGGGCTGAGCCTATGTCTCGGTAATACCTGTTTTCGTGCCGTTCAGCCTCTCGCATGTGGCAGTAGACAGGAGTCCCAAACATCTCATAGATTCCGGGTCCATTAGCAGTTGAGTTGATTTCTTTGAACATATCACTATACTTGAGATCTAAGTGAGTAGGTCGCGGTTCTGTTGGCTGAACAGAGGATTTTTTTGTTCCTAAATTTTTATTAATGCAAGGAAATGATGGCTTTTTAGGTTTCAGAGCCCGGTACGGTGATGGCTTCTTTTCTATCTGTGGCATCCTCCTTTGAAACTTGGATGTTTGTCGAGACCTAGGGTCAAGCCCCAAAGCTGGGAAGACTTGTGTTTTTATGCTAGTTTTATGCATGCTGGGCTTGGTGGAACCTTCTGTACTGGTAACCATGAAATTCTGAGGTGTTTTATTGCTACCATTGGTTTTGGAGTCCATCTTATTTCTATGGGTTTTCAGCTTAGGCCTGTCACTTTCTTGGCGTGCTAACATGTTGAAGCTGTTGTTAGGAAGAGCACTCTTTCTTTTTTGGAGGCTTGGTTTGGTTATTGCTGGCTCCTTAGGAGTTCTTTCTCCCGGGAAAGTGATGTGGATAAGTGGCACCAGCCCACTCATTTCCGGTTTGGTTGTCTCTGCTATTGATATTTTTGTGTTTGTCTCTATGTCTCTCTGACTGCTTGGGAGCTTATTATCAATGGGGTCATCAGGAACTGCACTCAACAAAGCTTTAGGTTCAGAAAACTCTTCTAAAATATGATTCAAGGCCACTGCCTCATCATCAGGTACTACAGTGCTTTTTGAATCAGGTTTATTATTTCTAGTCTCTTCAGTCTGTCTTTGAGCTCTTTCTAAATGCTGGATTTCCTGGAACTGGATTGGCATGACATGTAACACTTCTGAATCTTGCTCATGGTTTCTGGCTTCTGGATCTCCTCTCATTTGGGGTGCTAGACATTGAGAATTTTCCTCTTCTGTTTTGCTAATTTCACTACGAAGAGAATCAAGATCCTCTTTCTGGTCCATAGGAAAATCACATTCCTTAAAAGATTCAAAGGATACCAAAGACTGCCTTTTTGCAAAGTGAGATGTTTCAGTTTTGTCATACTCATCTGTTTCCTTGGATTTCAGATCCCCCTTTATCCCCAGGTGTTGTCTGTGATGGTTAGCCTTCCAAAAAGAGCACAGGTTTCTGGACCAAATGGAGCCATCAGAAGACCTGAGAGTCTGTTCCACAAACACTTTAAATGGAACCTCCTGCTGCTTGCTTGATGCTTGAAACTCATCAGACCGACTCACAGCCTCAGAGAACTTAGGAGCAAAGGATATGAGGCTTGAACTATCTCTTTCTCTCTCCTTTTGATCCTTGCGACTTGGGGGAATAGTAAAGAGACCAGGTCGCATAGACAAGAGTGACAATGGTGGCAGAGGTTGCTAAAAGAGAAAGAGAAGTCAGTCAGTGTAGAAGTTTGTATACAGTATGTTACCTGACTTAAAGTAATCTGGAGAGATTCTAAGAATTTCTGTAAGGAAACCCTTAAAAAGTACAAAGCTGGCAATCACAGTTTTTGAAACTAAAATGTCTTTACTGGGATTCTGTTAGAACAAAGCTAAAATAATACTTAATTTTATAAATAAAAACTAAAATTATTAAGACACTCAAATTACAAATTCTTTGAAAATTTTAGACAAAATTAGTTTGTAAACCACAATTATCATAGACATAAAGATTCACGGTTAATACTGAAAACTACATGTAATAAACATTAAAGTTGTTTCTTTTTTTTTTTTTTTTTGCTTTTTGGGTCGCACCCGGCGATGCACAGGGGCTACTCCTGGCTCTGAGCTCAGGAATTACCCCTGGTGGTGCTCAGGGGACCATATGGGATGCCGGGAATTGAACCTGGGTCGGCAGCGTGCAAGGCAAACACCCTACCCGCTGTGCTATTGCTCCAGCCCCAACATTAAAGCATTAAAGTTTAAGATGAAACTCTTTCCCTTTAAAGACATTATTTTGGGGTGTGTGTGTGTGTGTGTGTGTGTGTGTGTGTGTGTGTGTGTGTGTTTGTGTCTGTCTGTGTTTGTGTGTGTTGGGGGGGTGCATGCAATGGTGCTTAGGGCTTACTCCTGGCTCTGTGCTCAGGGTTCACTCCTAATGCTCCTCAGGGGACCATATGAGGTTCCAAGGATCAAACCAGAATTGGCTGCATGCAAGGCAAGCACCCTACCCACTGTACATCTCTCCGACCTCTCTTTTTTTTTCCATAGGATTGAGTTTATGCTTTGGAAGTTATGATTCAGACCAGCGTAAATTGATGCTCATTTTCACTTTAACAATAATCTTCGGGCTGTGTGTGACTAGCTCAGAATTTGTATTTAGAATATAATCACAGCTCATTGTTTCCTTGAGGGTGACTGCACTCCATTTCCAAACTAAGCTCGTCTTTACTATGTTCAGCCTCTAGAGGGCAGTATAGCCTAATATATATTAAAGAACCTTCTGCTCTTTAAATCAACATTGTGATCTGTTCCATGTATTTGATAATTATATCAGAATATTTATAGGTATGGATAATGGGTGTTCATTGAGAGCTATATGTTGAATTTTTATCCCCGACCTGTGTGTAAGGAGGGAGAGGGAGAGGAGCCTGCTGTAAGAAACAGAATTTTCATAGGTGAGAGGCAGTATATTCTCCATATTCTCCGAATAATTTTTCCAGTCTCTAAAAAGTAACTTCAGAAATAAGTAGTGTCTCCAAGTACTTAAACTTCTTTCTAGTAACAGCCATTACTTTTTTTAGGCTAATAAACTAAAAAAAAAAAAAAAACCCCAATTAGTATGGGTTTGTAAACTGCGGGGGGCGGGGCGGAGAGGAGAGCTTGCCTTGCACGTGGTCAACCCGGGCTTGATCCTAGCATCCCATATGGTGACCTGAACACCACCAGGTTTGATTTCTGAGAGCAGATACAGGAGTAACCCCTGGGTATGGGGTACCGGGTTTTAGTAACTGGGTCCTGGGTGTGGCCCCTCTCCAGAGAAAAACAAACCCACAAAACAATTAGCAATACCTATGCATCTTCTCAATGGTGCACAGAAGAAAGGAAGTCTGATAGTTGAGAAATTCGAGTTGCAAAGTTATTCCCAAATGTTTCACCTCTAAATTAGACAACTAGGAAAATATTTACCATTGTAGAACAAAAATGACTTAAGTTCCAGACATGTTACAAGAGGACAAATTAAAAATGCCTAAGAGGGGGCTGGAGTGACACAACAGTGGGTAGGGCATTTGCGTCGCATTCGGTCGACCCGGGTTCGATTCCCAGAATCCCATATGGTCCCCAGAGCACCGCCAGGAGTAATTCCTGAGTGCATGAGCCAGGACTAACCTCTCTGCATTGCCGAGTATGACCCAAAAAGAAAACAAAAATGCCTAAGAGAGCAACATAGCTCATAATATCATAATACAGAGAACAGGAAACACTCAGAAATAAAATACATAGACAAGTATGATTTTCCAGATATCCTTGCTAGTATGTAAACTCTGTGTAAGCTATATGTAAGATAGAATTGTGAACCATGAAAGGTCTTGATTCTGAGCTCTTTGTGTCTAACAAGAATTCTTTCGTATTAATTTTTGTTGGTTTGGTTTGGTTGTTTTGGCCCATACCCAGCAGTGCTCATGGGTAATTTCTGGCTCTGTGCTCAGGGATCATACCTGGTGGGCTCTGGGGACCATATAGGGTCTGGTGATCAAACTGTGTTGGCTGCATGCATAGCACATGCCCCACTCTCTGTACTATCAGGCTTAACCCTTGTATTTATTTTTTAAAATCATTTTTGGGCTTAAGTTGGTGGTGCTCAGGGGACCAGATAGTGATGGTTTCAAATCTGGACCCCCTGCATGAGAAGCACAAAGTCCAACCCTTTAAGCCATATCCTGGGCCCTTTGGTTTAATTTTTAAGTCAAAATGCTCAAACAAATGTCAGTTCTTACCTCAACTCCTCGTCTACTGTGCTTCATATCAGAGGAAGAAAAATCTGTAATAAAAAATAAAAATATTTTTGTATTTTTCTTTTAAATATTCTTAGAAGTATACTGAATCTAGTCAATCTTAAGTCAGTCTGCGATCATAGCACAAAAATTTGAAGAAAAGTGTGAAATGAAGAGTATTTCCAGGTGTGATCCACACAGAGGTAGGCAAGGAATTATTACAGAAAACTTCGGATAATTGATGCTATAGAGGATGGTGTATATTTCATATATACTATATTCCATATATAGTATTATTCATATATAGATGTTCATATATAGATATAATAACCACAAATATACTTGAACACCTATGTATTAATATCACATTTCTATCATTAATAAGTATATATGTTAACCACCACATATATGACGGTGGTCCCTATAAATAGCTGAGGTGCACATTAGGCTGTACAGTCAAGATATAAGTACATCCTAAAGAATATCACACACAATGAAATCATCTAATGATGAATTTCTCAGGCTAGATCCCCATCATGAAGCAGCATGTCACTATAATATTTCTTCTTTTTATAATGTTATTTTAGTCCCCGTGCTTTACAATTTTTCAATACTGTCAATGAGAGAATTTCATGCATACAACATTACAATCCGCACCCCCTCCACCTCGAGTGCCTAGTTCCCTCCACTGTAGGGTTGTCCCCCAAGATTCACATCTCAAAAGCCTCCCACATCTCCCCACCATAGCAAGTTTTGTTCTGTAGACTAATTCTTAGGTTTGTTGCTTTTGGCCAGTTGTTGTATGTCATATGTCAACGCTTGTATATGTATCATCATTATATATGTGTAATGTTTATATGCATGATATTTTTAGAGAATGAGACTCTGGATTAGAAAACACAGCATTTATTACTCACTGGTCACTACAGAGCCAGTTCCCTGCACTCCAGGCCCCACAAGGCACGGTAGTGAAAAGCATGGGTTTACCAGAGCATGTGGTGGGGCTACAGCAGGGGAGGGAAGCCCGACATTATGAGTCTTGGAGCTTATAGAGTGAATGATTCACACTTTAATCCATCTTTTCCTCCTGAGTAAGAGAGACCTTTATTATAAAAAGTAGGCAAATACCACCAAGAGAAAGGGGGTGTGATTCTGGGTTTTATTGCCTTTATTATTAGCAAACAAAAGCTGGAGTGAATGTTAGTACAGCAGATAAGCATGCAGTGGACCATGATTTAAATCCCCAGAAGAGCATGTGGTCCCCTCAAAGCTGCCAGGAGAGACCTCTATGCCCAGAGCTAGGAGTAAGTGGGCTAGAGTGATAGTACAGTGGGTAAGGCGCTTGCCTAGCACATGGCCAACTGGGTTTAATCCCTGGCATCCCATATGGTCCCCTGAGCTCACCAGGAGTGATTCCTAAGCACAGAGACAGGAACAGGCTCTGAGCAGGGTCAAGTGTAGCCCTCACAAATTAGAAGTAATTCCTGAGCACAGGTATGGCCCCCAAACAAACAAATTTTTAGGAAGTAAGCAAAAACTCTTACTGGGGAAATAAGATTTTGAATCTCTCTGGAGTAAAACATGAATTTCCTAACACACACTGGCCATTCAGTCATCTCTTAATCTAAGGGTTTTGTTCAGAAATTGTGGCTTGTGCAGGATTGTGAAAATATTGTTTAATGGATCATGAATTCCGAAGGAAGGGTGAGGAGAAAGGGAAGATGGAATTAGCTAGGTTAAAACCTAGAAGTTAGTCTCTTCTTACAGAAAGGTCAAATGATTCCTAAAACACAGCTTTAAAGCTTCAGTCCCAAGCATCACTGTGGCCAGGATGGAAAGCAGTCACATGACCAAAGTGGGAGCAGCAGGAGCAGTAGTGGTGGTCATAGGTCACTGCCCAGGTGAAGAGCCAACCATCGAGCAGTCCAATGGATGCTGTCCACTCCGCACAGACATTCAGTGCTGCATGATCTTCCAAGGGTAGCCAGAACCAGAGACTTCCTATACCACGTTCCTCCCCCCCACCCCCTTGCTCCTCTGATGCTTTGAAGGTGGAACAAGATATGTCTGTGGTAGAAGATGAGACCCAGGACTCCATTTCAACTTTTCACTTAGAAACAATCCCTTCGAAAATATAACACAGCGAGCAAAGCCATGCTCAGGTTGTTCAACGGGGCCAAGATTTCCCCAGAGGAATCACATGAAGACAGGTTGTGATGCAATAAGCAAAAGGTCTTTATTGGCTAGCTTGACTAGCTCACTCTAGGGCCCTGATCCGGCTCACTGACACAGTGGCAGTCTTCTTGGAATGAGCTGTCTCGAATCTCAAAAGTGAGAGGTTTTTATACCGTAACATTATATAACAAAGACTTTCCGCAGACCACCCTTTTGGCCGAAGTCTGGGGGGCTTTCCACTACTTATACTTAGCTGATTGGTTGTAAGTTGGAATTACATACGGGTTGCATAAGAGTTACATAAGGGTTACATAGGGGGGGGCTTCTCTACCTGCATCTGATTGGTAATCCTTAGTTGACCTCACCATGGCTATGTGAGGTTTCACCTTCAGGGAAACCATGGCTCAATTCCAAGCATCTGTGCTCAATTCCAGGAATTCTGGAACCAAAACCTAGACCTAGCTTCTTCTGGCTTCTTTATGAACAGCTTCTCTGTCTCTCAAGGTCAAGCATGGTAACCTCAGAAGAAGCTTCTAGTGCAAGGGGGTGTGGGCATTCTCCTTTGCCACAGCTCGCTAACATACCTCCTCCTACTCTTTTGTTTGTTGGTTTGTTTTTTCTTGGGTTATAGGGCCAGACCTGGCAAAGCTTAGGGGTTACTCCTGACTCTACACTCATAAACCATACTCACGTATGGTTCCTGACAGGTTTCAGGAACCATACGTGGTGATAGTGATCTAACACATGTCAGTCACATGCAAGGCAAGTGCCCTACCCACTGTACTATCTCTCTGGCCCTACTACTTTCAATTCTTTATGTATTTATTCAACAAATATTTGAGTTCCTACCAAGTGGTGAGCACTGACGCAGAAGATAGCATTATAGTTGGAAACAACAAAGACAAAATTCTTGTCCACACAATTTGTATTCTAAAGCTTGAGCTTTTCTCTTGAAAAGCTATTTCATGGGTTTACAGAGGTAGTATGGTGTGTAGGGCATCTGCCTTGCGTGTAGTTTAGCTGGGCTTGATTCCTGGCATTACATAGGGTTCTCTGAGACCCCCAGGGTGATCCCTGAGCACAGAGCCTGGGGTAAGTCCTCAGCACAGCCAGGTGTGGCTAAACAAACAAACAAAGAAAAGTCATTTCAGGGCTGGAGTGATAGCACAACAGTCAGGAGGGCGCTTGCCTTGCATGTGGCCAACCTGGGTTCGATTCCCAGCATCCCATATGTTCCCCTGAGCACTGCCAGGAGGAATTCCTGAGTGCAGAGCCAGGAGTAACCCCTAAGCTTTGCATTGCTGGGTGTGACCCCAAAAGCAAGCAAGCAAGCAAGCAAGCAAGACAGAAGGAAAGAAAGAAAGAAAGAAAGAAAGAAAGAAAGAAAGAAAGAAAGAAAGAAAGAAAGAACGAAAGAAAGAAAAGACATTTCTTGGGGCCAGAGTGATAGTAAAACAGGTAGGGTGTTTGTCCTGTAGACAGCTGATCTGGGTTCTATCTCTGGCATCCCATATGACCTCCCGAGCACCATCAGGAGAAATTCCTGAGAGCAGAACCAGGAGTGACCCCTTGATCATTGCTGGGTGTGACTGAGAGGAAAAAAAAAGACATTCATGGATATCCCAGAATTACAACAATATAATTTATAGTAAGATGCATATGTATAACTTCCTCAGTTATAAATATTTCAAGTATTATAAATATTTGAATAAATGTTAGCAGGTTCTGATAAGAAATGATTCAGGTATAGAAAGGCACTCAAAAATTTCTGCTGTGTGTGTGAGGAAGGCAGAGGTGTGTGTGGCAGCAGAGAGACAGCAGGTAGGTTGCTTGCCAAGAAGCCAACCCAGGTTTGATCCTCTATATCCCATATGATCCTCTGAGCAACATCAGGAGAAGTTCCTAAGGGCAGAGCCAGGAATAACCCTTGACCATTATCAGGTGCGGCCTCAAAACAATTTCTCCTGGAAAGGTAGAGGTAATCTCTTTCTGATAAGTCTTTCACAACATATGTTGAGAACTTTCTTTTTTTCTTTTTTGAGAAATTTCTTAATTGTGTATAGAATTATAGTTAAAGATTAAATTTCCAAGTTTTTTCCCTCTGTAAGTGAAAACCCAATACTTCACTAAAATGAGAGTACAGGAATTTTAGAAGGTATAAATATGAACAGTTCTGGAAAAAAGAAACAAAGAGCATCAACAAAAATTTTTACAGTTGAAAACTGCATAAACGTTTAGCTTCCAGCTTTCTCTATTCTGTTCAGTACCTACAGGAAAGAACTCAACAAGAAGTAGGAATCCCAGCAAATGAGAGGGAGAATGTTAAAATCTCCTACTACTATTGTGTTGCTGTCCAGATCTTTCTTCAGGACTGTTAGTAGTTGCTTCAAGTTGGTCAGTTCTCCTTCATTTGGTGCATATGTTAATGAGTCTTTCATCTGCTTCATGTAAGAATAGCCTGATCATTACATGATGTCCATATCTGTCTTTTATTACCATTTTTAGTTTGAAGTTTATCTATTTTTTTCCTTTTTAATCTTTTTGTGTGTCACATCTGATGGTGTTTGGAGCTTTACTCCTGGCTTGGTGCATAGGAATCTCTCTTGGCAGTGACCAGGGGACCATATGTGATACTGGGGATCAGTGCTGGGTTGGCTGCATGAAAGGCCGCGCCTTACTGTAGTATTATCTCTCCTGCCCCCAGTCAAGTCGCTTAGAGAGCTCTTTTGTGCTAGGTGTCCTTCCCAGGCTTTTGTTGTCATCCTTAATGCAGGTGAATCTCTCTGCCTCTTTATTGTGTTGGGTGCTAAGCTCTCAAGGAGTGAGGGTCTGGTTTTGTGCAGACCTGGGTGGCAATCAAGGGTTCGTGCTCAACCAATTCCACACAAACTTGACACTGAATTTGTCTCACTCTGGAACACGGCTCCTGGCAAGTGGAGGTCACGAGCTTATTGTGTCAGCTACAATCCTAAGGATGGACAGACCAGTGTTACATCCAGACTCACAGTTCACAGTGCCTGATTGGGTACCAATGTCCCACACATATGGACAGCGACTAAGGGTTTGGATCAGGATCACCTGGGAGGACTTGATTCCTTGAAACTGCAGAGAAAGTCTCTAATGACTCCAGGGGCACTCCTGATCTCAATTAAATTTGGAGGAGGAGGCTGGCTCTGCCTGGGCTGGGAAGCCCTCAACCAGCCCATGCTGCTCTAACCTTCGCTTGGGATGGTGAAGCTTGCTTGAGGACTGCTTCTCTTTCAAGAGGGACCAGGTCTCAGGGCTGGGGCCAGAGCACAGCAGGTAGGGTACTTGCATTGGTCTTATCCATAGTCAACCCAGGTTTGATCCCTGGCACCCAAAACAGTCCCTCGAGCCCACCCTGATGTATGTCTTTTATTTATCAATTAAAAATACCCCCCAAATGAGTTTGTTATGTATTTTTTACTTCTATAATTTTTTAAAATATTTGCTCCACTTAATATTTTAATTGAACTGTACCTTTACTCCCAAATCCTACAATAGTTTTTTCCCCCTTTGTTTGGTGAGATTGATTACAGTTTCTTTGCCAAGCATTCTTTCTTATCACAACTTAATGGATTATAGCTTGTTCTTGGTGGTTTAGGCTGATTGGTTGAGGACAGTAGTCAATAAGTACCATTGCTCTAGCCCTTCTCGCTCTGTTTCTTAATGAAATACTGTGAACTATAAAGAACAATGAACTATGTAAGTGCCAAATTAAAAATAAAAACCATTTGATCGGGGCAAGAGAGATTAGTAAAGGAGGCAAGGCTCTTACCTTGCATGTGCCTGATCCCTGTTTGACCTCAACACTGCACATGGTCCCCCAAACATTGCCCAAGCAAGAGCTAGGAGTAAGTCCTGAGCTCAGCTATGCACAACACTATCCCACCTTCAAAATTATATGATCCCATCAATAGATGCAGAAAAATATTTTATAAGACACATTTGTTTATGATAAATACTCTTGTCAAAATGGGGATAGAAGGAACATATCTTAATGTAGCATATTTTACAAACCCACAGGGAGGAAGGAAGGAAGGAAGGAAAGAAGGAAGGAAGGAAGAAAATAGTTTCTGGCATATAAAATACGTGTTTATTATTAAAGTAATCACTGTAAAATTTATTCAACTCACCTTCAGATTTCCTTTGCTGCCCCTGTAGAAAGTGAAAAACATCTTCTCTGGCTACAGACTTAGAAATGATTGGTTCTAGGCAAGGTTTTGGCAACAAAAAATCCGAATTCACATGACAGTCCTCCCTAGAACTTTCCTCTTTCTTCAGAACTGAAGGTGGCATGGTCAGCATCTTTGTCCTGAAGTTCACCATCTTAATCTCGTTTGCGAGAGAAACAGAATGTACTCGCGTCCATTCTTGATGCACTGAGGATTTCTGACTAAGAGAGGAGGAAATGTTTTGATTGAAAAAAAATCTCATTCTTATATATGCATTACCACACCATTTTTGATGGGGTTCAGACAGTAGGTAACAAAACATAGAGGAAAAAAATATATATATATATGTCTCGAAGAGCCCGGCAAACTACCAAGAGTATCCCGCCTGCATGGCAGAGCCTGGAAAGCTCCCTGTGGTGTATTCGATATGCAAAAAATACAGTAACAATAACAGGCCTCATTCCCCTGACCCTGAAAGAGCCTTCAATGCAGCCGCATTGGGAAGGACAAATAAGGAGAGGTTGCTAAAATCTCAAGGCTGGGACAAATGGAGACAGCACTGGCGCCCACTCGAATAAATTGATGAACAATGAGATGACAGTGATACAGTGATACATGCATGAAAAAGGATGATTAACAGTATTACAAATCCCAGTACCCCAATAAGAATGGTTTTTAAAAAATAAATAAAAATCTCATTCCCCGTGTCTTCTGCATCTCAATTCTCAGTCCAGCCTGATATCACATGAAAATTTGGAGACCTCTCTCCAAATGGCCCTTCTCAGGGGAGAGACCATAGCACTGAAAGTTGACTCTTCACTCCCATTTGGCTTCTGTGCTCATTTTACTTTGTCCAGTCAGTACTTTTTTGCTTGACCAGAGAAATCAGAGGAACAAGCACAGGCTTAGGGTTGGACCTTCTTACCCACCTCCCCTCCAAACACAGTCCAGTGCTTCTCAAACTATCTTTTGTGAAGATCCAGTTTTAACATTTTCCAGTCCATTGTGGAGATAATTTGGTAAAAACAGAACAAAAGCTAATTACTGTAAAAATGGTACAAAATCAAAAACAGGCAATCATATTAACGAGCATAAAATTATCACTGTCACTGTCATCCCATTGTTCATCAATTTACTCAAGCAGGCACCAGTGATGTCTCATTCATCCCAGTCCTGAGATTTTAGCAGCCTTTCCTTACTCATCTTTCTCAATGCTGCCATATTGGAGGCTCTTTCTGGGTCAGGGGATGAGGCCCTTTATAGTTACTGTTTTTGGCATATCAAATACGCCACGGGGAGCTTGCCAGTCTCTGCTGTGTGGTCGGTCGGGATACTCTCAGTAGCTTACTGGGCTCCCCAAAAGGGACGGAGAATACAAGCAAGTATGTTAAAACCAAACACATGTGTACTGCTTTAGGTACATCAGTGGGCTAGACTGTAAGAGGTCTCAGCCGCAAATGCATGCTCCAGGAAATACTGCATCATTCTCTTCCAGGAGCTTTGTTTTATAGTCTCTGGATCTTGGCTGTTGATGGGATTACATGGCACCGGGGGCAGTTTGTGGGTGTGACTACCAAGCTACTAGAAAATGGGGGATCTGGGTGGAGGAGGCCCAGTTCCGATCCAAGCAGGCTTGGAGGTCTCAGCCCCGGGTCCCACATACACATGAAAATTGTTCATGTGTATGAATAGTTCCTCTGCTGGTTCCTTCATAAAACTATAGTTTCACTTAATACACAACTCTTGTTTAACGTTTTATTGTTTCTTTGTTTTTGCAGAGAGTCACACCCAGCAGTGCTTAGGGCTTGGCTCTGTGCTCCGGGACTCGCCTGGTGGACTCCAGGGACTTTCTGCAGTGCTGGGATTGCACCTGGGTTGGCTTTGTGCAAGGCAAGGGCCCTACTGCTGTACTATCTCTCTAGCATGACATACAACTTTTAAAATGGTTAAACTGTGAAGGTCCAGGGCAGAGAGATAGAGCAAAGGGCTAGAATGTATGCTTTGCATGTGGGGGCCCCAGTCCAAGCTCTGACACTGTTTGGACTCCTGAGCACTGCCAGGAGTACTTCCCCATGAAAAAGTAATCTAAATAAAAACTTTTTTGTTGTTTTGATGGGTCTTTTGGGGATGGGGCCACACCCGGTGATGCTTAGAGCTTACTCCTGGCTCTGTTCTCAGGAATTACTTCTGGTGGGACTTGGAAGACCATATGAGATGCTGATGCCAGGGATCAAACCTGGATTAGAAACATACAAGGCAGGTATCCTATCTGCTGTGCTACTGCTCTAACTCCAAAATAAACTTTTTTTTTTTGGTTTTTGAGTATTACCCAGCAAGGCTAGTAGGAATTGCTTCTGGTGCTGCTTTGGGGACCATATGAGATGCCCGGGATCAAACTCATGTAGGACTTACACAAGATAAGCCCCTTATCCACTGGACTATTCCTCCAGCCCCCCCAAACAAACTTTTAAGGGTTATTTTACTTTCATCATGAGCTGGCAGAAGAATCACAGGACCACATTTTGAGTGGCACTGCATCAGGGCCAACGCTGGGCCTCCAGCGAGTTTCTGTCGCTGTATTGGAGCCCTCTTTCACCCACTGGCTGAGTATTGTCTGCAGCTGCTGAAGTTCCAGCTACACTGCAGAGCTAATAATGCAGCAAAGACCATATGGCTCACAAAGTCTGAAATATGTATTATCTGGCTCCTGCTGCAATAATGTTTATTAGACTTGATTTTGTGGACTCCGCGCCAGGCTGTTTTCACTCGGGGCGCCCCAGAGGGGGCGGGTGAGAGCCCTCCCCGCCTCAAGGGACCCAGCCCCGGCAGCTGACTTTCATTACCTAAGAGCCGCCACGCTCCAGGCCGCTTTCCACATGCTTGGGCTGAGCCTCACATATGAGTGATGAGTGAACATATTCCTGGACACATCATAAGACACTTCCTACCCATTTTCCATAAATACCACATCATATTTGATGGTGTTAAGACAGTAGGCAACAAATAATAGAGGGCAATATATATATTTATATATACATACATGTGTATTTATGTATATATACACACACACACACATATAGAGCCCAGCAAGCTACCGAGAGTATCTCGCCCACACAGCAAAGCTTGGTAAGCTATCCGTGACGTATTCAGTATGCCAAACACAGTAACAACAAGTCTTAAAAAATGGAGATGTTACTGGGCCCGCTTGAGCAAATCGATGAACAATGGGAGGACAGTGTTTATATATATATATATATATATATATATATATATCTCAGAGAGCCTGGCAAGCTACCGAGAGTATCCCGCCCGCACGGCACAGCCTGGCAAGCTCCCCCGTGGCATGTTTGATATGCCCAAAACAGTAACAATAACGGGTCTCATTCCCCTGACCCTGAAAGAGCCTCCAATATGGCAGCTTTGGGAAAAACAAGTAAGGAGAGGCTGCTAAAATCTCAGGACTGGGGCGAATGGAGACATTACTGGCGCCCGCTTGAGTAAATCGATGAACAACGGCATGGCAGTAATACAGTGATACAGACCTGCTTTAGAACTGAGGCCAATCACTAAAATGTAAATTGCCAAACAAGTATCACCTTGTGCTTACATTGCAATCTAATCTTTCAAAGGGTATTCCTTACTTGTTTTCTTTGAAAACTTCTTGGCTCACTTCTTGAGGATCTGTGACATCTCTTGGAAAAGCAACAATAATTTCAACACCTATAGAAATACAAGACAACAATAAAAGGAAAGGGAAAAATCCCAATTTTTCGAATATCTAGGAGAAACATTTTAGTTTTGGTTGGATGGTTGATCTGTTCTCAAGTATTCTAGAATGAGCATTATCCAGGCCAGAGACCTTCTATTACTGCCCTTGTATCAGTCGGCTTCTTCCTCTTCTCTTTCAGAACCTCCCAGCCCCCCAGTTTGATAATCTTAATTCTGAAAAGTCCAAGTGTTTGTTATTGGTCATTGTCCATTCCTTTACTTCACTTCTTTATATACCACATTTGAGAAAGATCATCTGATATTTGTCCTTCTCTCTCGGACTAACAACATATCCTCTGGCTTCGTTCATGATGTAGCTAAAGACAACACCTCATCTAATCTTTTAGCTGCACACCACAACCTCTTTATCCATTCACCTGTTACTGGGAATTTGGGAAACTCCCGTATCTTGACTATTGTGCTTAGTGTTGCAATGAACATAGGTGTGCACATATCTTTTTGAGTTAATATCCAATCTCCTTATTGTAACAGAAAATTTCACCATGTAGAATAGATGCTTTCTTTAAGTAAAATATACAAGTTGAGCAAATTTACACTAAATACTAGTATGATCCATGCCTGCATTGCCTGTAGTTTAAGGTTTATTAGCCTTTCATTGTCCCACTCTTCAAGCTTTTATTAAGCATATGCCAAACCCAGTGTTTTGTGCTAAAAATGTAGAAATAAACCAGGTGCAGCAGTGGCTCTAGTGGAGATGACAAGAAAGCGGAGAGAATAACAAGTCAAGCATTCAAGATGTTGTGTGAATGGTGGTGGTGCAGGACAGAGGAAAGTATTCTCTAGAAGGCTGTGGTGCTTTGCCTCCACATTCAGTCAATTCATGGATGTGTCAGTCATTTGTCTGTGGCAGTCTGGAGGCTCTGTGGTTCTCATCAGTCCCATCTCATCAATGAGAGCTACAGGGAAGCTAAGACAGGCTGTGAACTAGACAGGTTTCAGTCTACATGCTTCCTTGCCACAAGGTCATGAGGTAGGTGAACTTGGAAAAGTGACATAATAGGTATTAACACTTTCGTTCTCTTCCTTGCTACGTATTTGTTATTTGCGAAGGACTTTGGATATTTTGTCAACTAGAAGGTCCCGCTTAATGGAAGCATTTTCATTATTAACTTTTATGTTTGTAATCTGTGACAGCAGTAGGGCGTTCGCCTTACAAGCGGCCAACATGACCGACCCGAGTTCGATTCCTCCGCCCCTCTCGGAGAACCCGACAAGCTACTGAGAGTATCTCGCCTGCACGGCAAAGCATGGCAAGCTCCCCGTGACGTTTTCGATATGCCAAACACAGTAACAACAAAGTCTCCAATGGAGACGACAGTAACAACAAAGTCTCCAATGGAGACGTTACTGGGCCCGCTCGAGCAAATCGACGATCAACGGGAGGGCCTTTACCTTTAATCTGTGAAATTAGGTTTATTTTTGTTTTTATAAAGTAAATACTTCCAAAGGCAGGTAGGGTACCTGCCTTGCCAGCAGCCAACCCTGGTCCGAGCCCCAGAATCCATGTGGATCCCCAGACACCTCCAAGATTGATTCCTAAGTGCAAAGCCACCCTGAGCGTTGTCAGGGTGGCCCCAAAACAACAACAAGAATGACGACGAAAATTCTGTGCTTCACTTTTTTCTAAGGAAATTTTTTTGCTCCCTTTCAACAGTTTATTCATAACAAACAATGTAGCACTGCACTGTCCTCCCATTGTTCATCGATTTGTTCCAGCGGGCCCAGTAACATCTCCATTGTGAGACTTGTTACTGTGTTTGGCATATCCAATACGTCAAGGGTAGCTTGCCAGGCTCTGCCGTGCGGGCGAGATACTCTCAGTAGCTTGCCAGGATCTGAGAGAGGGGTGGAGGAATGGAACTCGGGTTGGCCGCGTGGGCCGCGTGCAAGGCAAACACCCTACCCGCTGTGCTATCACTCCAACCCCATAACAAACAATACAAAATGAATGATTTCGGTTCTGCTTTGTGGCAGGGGCTGAGGTTCAGGATAAAAACATCCAAATATGGTGGTGGGAAGGTGTTATGGTGGTGGGATTGGTGTTCGAATATTAAATATGATCAAATATTGTGCTACTTTATAAAAATAAAATTTAAAAAGGCTGTGCTTTTATCATTATTAAACACTAATAAACTCAGAATGCTTTCAAACAAATGGAATTGTTCAAACGTCTATAAATTGAGTGTTTTAGTTTTTACAATCAAGGAACAAAGATACATATGCAAATAAAAGAAATACTTGCCTATAGGGCTGGAGCGATAGCACAGCGGGTAGGGCGTTTGCCTTGCACGCAGCCAACATGGCCGACCCAAGTTCGATTCCTCCGCCCCTCTCGGAGAGCCTGGCAAGCTACCGAGAGTATCTCGCCCACACGGCAGAGCCTGGCAAGCTCCCCGTGATGTATTCGATATGCCAAACACAGTAACAACAAAGTCTCCGATGGAGACGTTACTGGGCCCGTTCGAGCAAATCGATGATCAACGGGAGGGCCTTTACTTTTACTTTACTTGCCTATAAAGAAATTAATTTCTAAGAGCCAGTGATTCCTGTCCTAATGGTCTTAGGTGGTGATGGGCGGGAGAGATTATAGAATGAGCTAACTGGAATCAGTGGGGACATACAAATGACCTCTGATGTATCTGTTTGTCTCTTGAGTGAGTCGGAAGGTTGGTGGGATCCTCTGACCTTACCCAGTGGGCCAGAGAAGGGAATGTCACATGTCAAAAGAAAACACTAGCTTCTTCCTGAGAGTATCATTCTCCATAAGAAGGTGTAAACTAACCCCACTTGGAAATTTTATAATAGAGAGCTGAGGAGATGACCCATGGGGCTGGAGTCTGCAGACTCCTAGGTTCAATCCCCAGCACCACACGGTCCCCCAAACACTGCTGGGAGACACCCTTGAACACAAAGCAAGGAATAAAACAAGTATCCCCAGGGTGTGGCCCAAAAGCCAGAGAGAGAAGGAAGGAGAAAGGAAGAGAGGAAGAGAAGAAAGGAAGGAAGAAAGGAAATAAGAAAGAAACAAAGAAAAATGCTTCAGTTGAGAAAATCAAAAGCTCACCATTTTAAACATAGTTAATAATAGATAAGATGAAAAATGACAGTCATGGGGCTGGAGCGATAGAACAGCGGGTAGGGCATTTGCCTTGCAGGCGGCCAACCCGAGTTTGATCCCTGGCATTCCGTATGGTCCCCCAAGCACTGCCAGAAGTAATTTTTGAGTGCAAAGCCAGGAGTAACCCCTGAGCATCTTTGGGTACGACCCAAAAAGCAAAAAAAAAAAAAAAGAAAGAAAGAAAGAAAATGAGTCATTAAAATTTTTTTCATTAATATTAAAGCCAAAGCCCAAACTAAAAAGTTCTGCGTTTGATCCCTAGAAAGATACACACACACACACACACACACACACACACACACTCACTAAAACTTAAAAGTGGTACATCCAAATTCATACAATGAATATAAATTTTCTATCAGAAAGTCTTACTTTCCTATATTTTCAGTTTGTTTATCAAAATTGAAGGACTTGCAGGTTCAACATATTTTTATACCCTCTCGATATTTTGCTACTTTCCCAGGTCATAAATTTCAACACAGTTTTTTTTAAACTACGTTTTCCAGTCTCCTTTATTACAAGAGTTCAAAACCCCTAACTTGAGAGACAGATTCAAGTATAACATGACAAACTTGGGTTCAGGAATTCTTGCTGTCAGCAGCGATTAAATGTCTTAAGATTGATGTGGGAGTTGCCCCGAGTTTTGGCAGAGGCAAAATGATTTGGAGACCAGTGGTCAATCTTAAAATGAAGTTATGATTAAAAAAATTCTTCCTAAAAATCAGATGTAATATCTGTAGGTTTTTATTTTTTCATTAAAAATATTTTGAGGACTGAAATGATAGTACAGCGGGTAGGGTGTTTGCCTTGCATGCAGCCGACTCGAGTTCAATTCCCAGCATCCCATATGGTCCACTGAACACCTCCAGGAGTAATTCCTGAGTTTAAAGCCAGGAGTAACCCCTGTGCATCACCTGGTGTGAGATAAAAAGCAAAAAAAAAAAAAGTTTTTTTTTGTCTTTGGATCATGTGATAGCACAGTGGTAAGGCGTTTGCCTTGCACGCAGACAACATGGCCGACCTGAGTTCGATTCCTCCGCCCCTCTCAGAGAGCCTGGCAAGCTACCTGTGATGTACTCGATATGCCAAACACAGTAACAACAAGTCTCATGATGGAGACATTACTGGGCCCGCTCGAGCAAATCGATGAACAACGGGAGGACCGTGCCTGTGACCGTGGATCACATCTGAAAATGCTCAGTGGTTACTCCTGCCTCTGTGCACAGGAATAACCCCTGGTGGTGCTCAGGGGACCATATGGGGGGTGGAGGATTGAACTCAGGTTGGCCGCATGCAAGGCAGGCACCCTACCCACTGTACTGTCACTCTGTCCCCTAAAGTCTCAAGTTTTGTTTGTTAGGTTTGGACCACACACAGCCTTGGTCAGAGACTATTCCAGGCTTTGTGTTCAGGGTTTTTCCAGGCAGTGTTAGGCATCAAATCTGGGCCTCTCGTTGTAAAGCATTTTCTCCAGCATCTCTCCCTCCAGCCTCTTAGGTCTGTTCATTGATTGATCATTGTGGGTGCCACTCCCGGCAGTGCTGGTATGGTGCTGAGACTGAGTCCAGGAAGGTCTCCTACTGGAAAGGCATCTTGGGCCATACCCCAAACCCTTTGCTGTTGTTTTAATGGTCTCTGAACTTTCTAGTATCTTCTAAAACATCCTTCCTTTTTACCTAGCTAGGGAACGTTCTGTCACGAAGCAGCCTGATAACAGCTCTTTAAAAATATTTTTATGCAGTGATTTCAGGAAATTGGTTCTTATTCACCTATGAATGGCAATTTTAGATGCTCAATTTCCAATCTTAAAGGTTTGCACCTGCCAGGCTCTGGGAAAGTAAGTGGGTGAGTGAAAAATGCAAGAAGATTTCTTTGTTTATTCTGTTTTGTAGTCACATTCGGCAGTGCTCGGGCTTATTCCTGGCTCTGTGCTCAGGGATCATTCCTGGTAGTGCCGGCATAGATGGTGTCAAGGATTAAATCCTTGTCTACCATGAGCAGCAAGGCAAGTATCTTACCTGCTGTACTACTATCTGTCTAGCCCCGTGAAAGAGGATTTTTTTATACTGAAAGATGTTTGATTTTCTTTTTTCCTCTTTTTTTAGTAGGAAGCTTTGAAGGTCCATAAACTGTACTTTACTCTGCTCTGTCTCTCTGTCTCTGTCTTTCTCTCTCCCCACCCCTCTTTGAATTTTGGCTCTCAGGGCAGGGTTCAGGAGGCTATATGTGGTGCTGGAGATCAAAGCTGGGTCAGCCACATGCTAGGCAAGTGTCCTAGCCACTGTACTATCACTCTTGCCCTACAGCTCTCATTTTTAAAAGCTCCTGATAAAGCAAGTGCATGCTTCTGGAATATTTAATTGTTAAAATCAACGAGGGTGATCCAAACATTCTAATGTTTGAATATATGTAATATTTTAACAAGTGATGCTCCAGGTATCAATATTGATGCTTCAAAGAAGAAGGAGGAGGAGAAGAAGGAGGAGAATAAGGAGAAGGAGAAGAAGAAGAAGAAGAAGAAGAAGAAGAAGAAGAAGAAGAAGAAGAAGAAGAAGAAGAAGGAGGAGGAGGAGGAGGAGGAGGAGGAGGAGGAGGAGGAGGAGGAGGAGGAGGAGGAAGAGGAGGAGGAGGAAGAGGAGAAGAAGAAGAAGAAAAAGAAGAAGAAGAAGAAGAAGAAAGAAAGAAAGAAAGAAATCTTACACTAAATCTAGAATAACACAAATCAATTTTATAATGATTACTAGCACCTCAGTGGCAAGTAATCTCCAAACTCAGCAGAAAAGATGAATTATTTAACCACCTGGGAGGTGCTTGGAATACAGCTGGATTTCAGAGAACTAGGTCTGAAAGTTTTTGAATAGCAGGCAGATGCCACAGATCATTCGGAAGGAGATTTGTTGACTTTCATTTGGCCTTTCTGAGTTAATCATTTCAAATGTCACTGTTCTGATGTCTCACTTGTCACAGTTCTGAATATTTTGGTGGCATGTTCTCATCTTTCTCTGGGAAATCTTTGCCTAGAGGTTATAATCCATTGCTTCAGATGTAATTAAAGAGAATATTCTCATGATTTTTTCATTACCTAAACTTATAGTCAATAAATACTCCCTCCCCCCCCACCCCCCCAGTGATTCTGTGTCCTCAGTCTGAGGAAGATTCCAATGATGAGTCTGAGAAAGGCAGGAGCTTGCACAGCAGAGGGCAGCATTGCATTAGGGTCTCAGCTCAAGAGGCGAAGCCCAGGCAGCATCCAGGGAGCTTTGCTGGGATAAGGAGCGAGACCCAACGCGGCCGCTTCCCCACACATTAGGCACAGAATTCAGGAAAAGACCAGAAAGAAACTACAGCCGTTCAATAGGGTTATTTTAAGAAGTTCACCGGTCAATAAATGACAGACGGATATGATAGCTTTTACAATTTTCCTGTTGCAAGAAACTGCAAATACCTTGGAGTCTGTATTTGCAAGGGTACTGCTCTGGAAAATTCCATCCTTGGAGCTGAGCCTTGGGGCTCTAGTTCCCTTGCTCCCCTCAGGGAGACGCTCAGGGACAGAAGCTGATGGAGACTTGCCTGGTTCTGGCAGAGAACAGACCCTGGATGCTGATGGATGACTCAGAGGAAAGACATATATAAAGACATCTATAACACAAACAAGAAAAGGGTTCGTGGTGGTGGTGGTGGTGGTGGTGGTGGTGGTGGTGTGTGTGTGTGTGTGTTTCCAAACTTCTTCCCCAAGCACTTCTGCAGTTAGCAGGAAAGTCCAAATAATCAATATTCTTGAAAGACCCCATACCTTCTGTCCTGGGTTGCCAGTCTTGTCCATCGCCACTTGCATCTCCTTCTTCACTAGCCAGTAGGGAAAGACTGCAGTCATCATCTTGGTCAAACTCCTAAAATAATCATAAAATAAAAAATCACTTACTTCAGGTATCACTTTGTTGATAGAGTGATTTTTCCCCCAAACTAAAGTTTTTATTATTATTACTTTGATTTTTTTTCAAGTCACACCTTAGAGGTTATTCCTGGTTCTGTACCAAGGAATTGCTCTTGAGGGTACTTCAGGGACCATGTGGAATGCTGGGGATCAAACCTGGGTCAGTCACTTGCAGGACAATCACCTGACCTATCTCCCTAGTCCAATTTTTTAAACTCTATGGAGCTAGTGTGATTTGCAGTGCTGTTAATTATGATTCACAGATTTAGCTTACATCAGTCTAGCACCACACCCATCACCAGAGCACAAAGTATCCATTGCTACCCCCTCTCCCCACCCCAAACTCAGTTCTGTGGACCAACTCACTAGTTCTGTTGAAGAGCTAAAGTTTTAGACTGTGGGTCCTTTTTGAACTGGACAAAGTCTTACAACTAAAACAATGCAAAAGTCAGTCCCTGGAGCACCAGGCTTGGACAGATATGAACAATTCATAATGAAAACTGAAGAGCAAAGTTGAAAGCACGAGGGACACTTAGAAATTTAATATTTTATGCTTTATCATTTCAGTGATCAGCACGCTAAGCTGCAGCAAATGCCATCTGAGTGGATAACTGGAAAGAATCTTTGGCCACAATCATAGAAAACAACCCCAAAGGAACATGATCTTTTCCATAATGCCTCCCTAAGGCGTCCTTGACAAATGGCGAGGGTGGAAATCCCTGCTTCATCTGGGAGCTACAGGTGCAACCCTAGACTATGTGGAGGCAGCAAAGCTGATTCAAGTCTTCACTAGGACTGCTTTCTGACCTAATCAAAGCAAATACTTCTTTTTTATTATCCTCCAAAAAATAATCTTTATAATGAAAAACATGGCTGAAAGTCAACTTGACTTATAAGAGCCTCTTCTCCCTCCCAGAAGAAATGTTTTATTGTTGGGGAGAAGCTCCTTCACTAGTAGTGGCGGCTGGTGGTTTTGTCCTTTTTAGTTTAAGAACAGTGAGAGATGCCAGTTGTAGTTGAAATAACCCATTAACCCTGGCTATTGCAATTAGCCATGTGACTGTAATGATGTGTATGAACCACCTAATGAAGGACATGGTCGAACAAAAAGTCTTTGCCTTGTTAAACAAGGGAAATCTTTATCCCAAAACTCTAATCCTCCTTTTAGTGGTTTCAAAGAAAGCTTAGGAATCTTTTCTTTTGCACTTTGTCTATTTTAATTACAATGGGAAATAATAAAACTAAGGCATTACAATATTTTGTCTTCAGTTTTAGTAATAGTCTCAATCCTTTTTGCAGTGAATTTGTTCTTTTTAAGTATTTTAAATGAGTTTTGACTATCTGACAAAGGCTAGGTGCCCTTTTTGAGAACATTGAGTTGCCCCTGGCAAGTAGGAGAGCAGGGTCATCCTGACCATATACTGTGATGCTTATTCTCTACATTTCAAAACCTTTAACACTGTCAGGAAAACATATCCATTTTCTGGGGGGTGGCATCACTTGGGGAACACTGAGGTCATATCTCATGAGGCTGGGGTAGTGGTGGTATGGTTTATACAGTGCTGGGGGTCAAATTCAAGGCCACACACAAGCTAGGCAGATCTTCTACCTGCTGAACTATACATCAAGCCCTTTATCAATCTTCCCCTTTCTCAATTATCACTTTCATTTCTAGTAATGTATTATATGGAGTAAGTCATCTTACTGGAGTCTGAGTGAGCACACTTTGGTTAGCTGGAAAGTTGGAGATAGTTGCAGATGGGTATTGACCACTGAACTCTTCTTTTTCGTGTAAATAGCTTTTAATCAGATATTTCATCTAGAATCCTTGACAAGTCCTCAGAATATATCTCTACCATTTCATATCATGATAATAATTCAACAAAATATCCCTGCTAAACTCTGAGGCAAATAGCAGAGCAGTCCTCCTTTAGAATTGTCTATAAATATGTAACTGACTCTCATGTCGTGTCTATGCAGATTGATGGGATATAGTTAATCTCATTGCTCAGTTCACTTATTGGCTATTCCTTTAGGAAATTTCAGCTGGAATATGCAGAGTATGGGAAAATATATGGATTAGTTTTTATGATTCTAATTGCTTATGAACAATTTACAAGCTCTACCTGAAGCCCAGAGAAGCTATGCAACTTACACAGGGTCACGCACGCAGCATTGGGGTAGTCCAGGTTCACACCAAGAATGAAATCTGATTTCCAGAACTCTTAATCATTCTAATTATTGCTATCATATACAGTTTGAAAACAAGGATTTCAACTAGAACTAGAAACAAAAGTGTGGGGACTAGATAGATTAAGGAAAAGGACACGATGAGTAGTTTGTGGGACCTTCGGTCCAGAACGCTGGAGCTAGAGGCGGAACGCTGCCCTGGCTGGGGTCCTGTATCTGATCCATCTCTCCCTTCTCTCCTGAAGGTCCTTTAGTAAAACGTTCATCCCCAAGAAGTAATGGGTTAATAGGCATCAGGGCTTCAGTTATACCAGTGATATGAGTGAGGGTATGGCCATAAACCCAAAACACAGGTTCAACAGAACTGAAAACATGAAATCTAAGAGGCAAGCACTGAAATTTTGTAGTGTGCCTGTCAGGTTAATAGGCTGGGGTGGAGTGAGGGTTGGGATAGGGGATGGGGAGGGAATCTGGGACATTGCAGGAGGGAAGTTGACACTGGCAGAGGGATTGGTGTTGAATTATTATATGTCTAAATTGCAATAGTCAGTAACTTTGTAAATCATGAATCTTTAAATTTTTTTTAAATAAAAGAAATAACCCACCAAAAATGTTTATCTCAATAAACCGATGATCTGAGATATGTTACAGTCTAACTGGGACAGATCAAGATAGTGAGGCACCTGATCAAGGAATGTTGTTCTTCTCCTTTTGATGGTCACTGATTCTAAGCAATAAATACTGCTCATGGAGGACTGTCATGGCTCAGTTCACGAGGCTGTTGCCCCCCTGACCCCATGCGTTTTCTCTCTTCTTTCCTTTCTTTATATTAAAGAACTGTGATTTACAAAGTTATCAATAGTTGAGTTTTAGGAATAGTTCAACACCAATCTCATTAATTACTACTGTCAACTTCTCTCCACCAGTGTCCCCATATTTCCAACCCCCCCCCCACACCCATCCAGCCCCATCCCCACCTATCTTAATTCGGACTTTTTTCTTAATCCTTGTGGCATCGCTGATTCAGGCCTGTTGACCTGATCCCCAGCAAGGATCAGTAACAAGGAAACTTAAGAGAAAGGATAATCAGCCTTAACTTATACTTTGCACAGGACAATAATCACATGGGGGACCATATGGAATAATGAAAGATGGGTAATACCTTTAAGTACTTGATAAAAATTTCTCCTGTGGAATAAACTAAAGTGTCAAACATGCTACAAAAGTAGGGGATAATCTCTGCTTTGAAAATAATGGACTTGAATGAAATTTGCTTATAAGTGGATAGACATGGAGAGTATCATGCTAAGCGAAATGAGTCAGAAAGAGAGGGACAGACATAGGAGGACTGCGCTCATTTGTGGAGTATAGAATAACATAACATGAGGCTGACACCCAAGGACAGTAGATACAAGGGCCAGGAGGATTGCTCCATACCTGGAAGCCTGCCTCAGGAGCAGAGGAGAGAAGGCAGATGGAATAGAGAAGGGATCGCTAAGAAAATGATGGCTGGAGGAATCAGTCGGGATGGGAGATGTGTGCCGAAAGTAGATAATGGACCAAACATGATGACCTCTCAGTATCTGTATTGCTAACCATAATGCCCAAAAGTAGAAAGAGAGTATGGGGAATATTGTCTGCCATGGAGGCAGAGGGAGGGTGGGGAAGGGGGGAATATACTGGGGAGATTGGTGGTGGGGAATGTGCACTGGGGGAGGGATGGGTGTTTGATCGTTGTGTGATTGTAACCCAAACATGAAAGCTTGTAATTTTCTCATGGTGATTTTATAAAATTGAAAAAAAAAGAAAATGATGGACTTGAAGACTCAACAACATAAACAGTTCTGTATTTTCTCATTTCTTTTAGAGATGAGTGGAGAAGAAAAAAAATTAGACTGGTATATCCCAAATATAGACAGATTTTTAAAACCTGGTAAAATTATAGGAGGTGACAACAGGCAGGAAATAGAACACAGTATTCTTATCTGCAAATAGAAAAATGCCAAATATACAGAAGACAAAAGAGAACTCAAAATATAAATGTGATTATATTTGTAAAGAGGCATCTCCTAAGATGACAAATTATTGGGGCAATCTATAAAGAGCTTCTCAGGAACAATCAGTAAGTAAACGTTTTATATTTGAAAAGCATAAACGTCTATTATAGATAGACCCAAACAAAAATGAGCTTTATTCAAATAAGTGAAGAATGACCTTGAATTTTGCCATTTAGTTCCTAGAGAAAGCATTAGGAAAGAAAAGATAAATTCAATAGTGAAAAAAAAAAAAACTATTCCTCGCTCAGAAAGATTTCAAGGTGATTTTTAACTACAGTATGAAAACCTTGAGTGAAAGTCAAGAAAAGAGTATAAGTAGAATTTTTAAAATGTGTTTTAAAAAATACAATAATATGAAGGCATGGGTTTTGAGTCTTTTATTTTTTTTTTAAAGAAACTTGTTTTAAAATAGCATGAAAGTGAAAGAGAAATGTTTTTGTTCATCCATTTCTAACCTCTAACACTCACGTTAAAGACTGAGTCTCAGACCAGTGAGATAAGTCAAAGGGCTGGCATGGGCCATGCAGGTGACCTGGATTCAATGCCCAGCACAGCCTGGTTACCCTGAGTGGGGAGCTGGGAACTGTCCGACCCTGTATGTTTGGCTCAGAAGAAACAAGCCAACAAATTAAACCTCTGCTTGTTTAACATGAAGCTTTGCAACAGGGTAGATGGCTCAAAGAGCTGGAGCACATGCTTTTCATGTAGGAGTTCGGGTTTAGACCCTATCACCACACAGTTCCCCAGCTCCACTGGGAGAAAATGCAAGACCCAACCAATAAATAAATAAATAAATAAACAAATAAATAAACAAAACAGTGATTCCTACTTTATTTGGATTATTTTATTGTTTATTTATTTATTTGTTTGTTTTTGTCTTTTGCTTTTTGAGGGTTTACTCCTGGCTCTGCACTCAGGAATTAACTCTAATTATTGCTATCATATACAGTTTGAAAACAAGGATTTACTCAGGGTTTACTCCTGGCTCTGCACTCACAAATTAACTCCTGATTGTGCCTGGGGGACCATATGGGATGGCAGGAATCAAATCTGGGTCAGCTGTGTGCAAGGCAAATGTCCTACCCACAGTACTATTTCTCCAGCCCCAGATTATTTGGATTATTATTGATCTCCATTTTAGTTGAATTATTAGTAAGAAAAACTATCCAACAGGTGATATAAAATGACACAATGTAGTAGGTGACAATAGTAGTAGCAATCCTTATAGGGTTGCTCAGTCTTGGTACTGTTGACATTTGGGGCTGGATAAGTGTTGGTTTTTTATTGATCTTTTTTTGGTTTTAGGGCCACTCCTAGCAGTGTTCAGGGATTACACCTGACTCTGTGCTCAGGGAGCACTCCTGGCATTGTTAAGGGACTAGATGAGGTGCTGGGATTGAACCAGGGTCAGCTGTGTGACAAAGCAAGAATTTTCGCCATTGTTCTATCCCTTGAATAATTTTTTAGTTTGTGGATGTTGTGAATTCCTCTATGATTAATGGCCTTGCTGTCCACTACCTACTAGATACTTGTATCATTTTTGCTTTAGCTGTGACATCAAAAATGTCTCCAAATACTAGCAAATACCTCCTGTGGGCAAAATCATCCTCATCCCACATTAAGAGCCACTATAATAACTTTGGTAAACTTGTTTAGAAAAGTTATTTACACAAGTTTAGATGGGTACTTTCACAAAGGCAAAATATTCAAATACAAGGCTGGAGAGAGAGTACAGCAGGGAAGTCGCTTGCCTTGAATTCAGCTGGCCCTGGCTCAATACCCTGCATCCCATTTGGTCAGTCCCCCCAGTACTGACAGGAGTAATTCCTAAGCGTAGAGCCAGGAGTAGCCCCTGAGCATGGCCAAGTATGATTCCTGTCCCCTAAATAGAACAAAAAAGGAAAAAATTCAAATTTTATTAGCAAGTACATTTTCAGATGAATTCAGTCCATCACATTGCCTAACGATATCCTGATTTAATTGAAAACTTTTCTGGTATTTGTATTTAATTTTTTCAAAAAGTCATTTAAACGTGTAGTGGGCAGATGCAGCACATGTTTGGCAAGTGTGAGGCCCTGGGTCTGAGCACAGGCACGTAAGTCCTGCTTGCATCACCACTGGGTGTGGTGCTGGGAATTCCTGAGCACTTCCTGACCAAGCAGCAGAGCACTTGTCTGGACTCCCAACCACTGATCTGCGACGCCAGCCAGAAGTGGCCCCTGGGGATGGCCCCCCCTTTTTTTTTTAAAGTTACAAAAACATGGAATGGAGGGACAGTATCACGGGTAGTGTTCTGGCCTCACATGTGGCCAACCTGGTCTTGATCTCCAGCATTACTTAGGGCTCCCCAAGATGAGCCAGAGATAATTCCTTTGTGCAGAGCCAGGAGTAACCTCTGAGCATGGCCAAGTGTGACCCAACAACTAAAAAAAAAAAGTTACAAACATCATCAAGTTTCTTCTCCTCTTCACTCAGAGTCAACAACTTCCAGGCTTTGAATCGTTTCTTTTGGTAATTTCTTCTGCATCTTCTGATGAGTGGTTTTTCAAGCTAACCTACAACTGGGTCAGGGTAGGAGGCACTGCTGGAGGTCACATATTTGTCATGTTATCTCTTGAGTCATCAAAGTGAGACATTCTCTAGTAATGTCATTATTTCTGTTGACAACTTAATAATTATATACCCTACGCTGCCCTCCCAATAAATCCACCCTTTCATTTTGTTAAGACAGAATCAAAGTTCAGATTATGATTATGTATTATACTTTATAGTTTGAATATGGTACAGCATGAGTGTACTTTTCTATATAAGGTTGTCCTGCACAAAATCCTAAACTCTTCTATTATTGTAGTAATAGTTTCCATTAAGGGGAAGCTGATTACACAGGATCTCTCTGTGCTTGTTCTCACTAAATCCATAATTATTTTCAAGAGAAAGTTTTAGGAATTAAAGTTTTTGTTTCAGTTTTGTGTTTTGCTGCTTATGGACAAATTTTGGAAGGAGAAAAAAATTGAAAATTCTGTATTTCATTGTCTCTAAACATTCTCATAATTGCCTCATAATTATTATTATTATTATTATGCTTTTTGGGTCAACCTGGCGATGCACAGGGTTTACTCCTGGCTTTGCACTCAGGAATTATCCCTAGCGGTGCTCAGGGGACCATGGGATGCTGGGAATAGAAACCGGGTTGGCCATGTGTAAGGCAAATCCCCTACCCGTTGTGCTATCACTCCAACCCCAACTTCATTAATGTTTTGAATTGAAAGTTTTGGGCCAGGAAGAAAACTCAAGTGGTAGTGCACATTTCTAGCATGCATGTGACCCTAAGTTTGATTTTCAGAATCACATAGCCCTACTGAGCACTTCAAAAGTAGGCCTGACTGGTGGAGGGATGGGTATCTGATCATTGTATAATTGAAACCAAAGCACAAAAAATTGTAAATCTACAACTTTATCCGGATATCCTAGAGGAAAGGGCAGTTCAGATAGAGAAGGGAGCACCAAATAAAGGGTGTTTGGAGGATCCTCCCAGGAGGGGAGATGCATGTCGAAAGTAGATTATGGACTGAACATGTTTGCCACTCAATGCCTCTTTTGCAGACCACAACACCCAAAAGGAGAGAGAGAACACAGGGGATTGCCCTGCCACAGAGACAGGGGGGATGGGGGGGATGGGGGTGGGAGGGATATTATCCATGGTGGTGGAAAATGGGCACTGGTGGAGGGATGGGTATCTGATCATTGTATAATTGAAACCAAAGCACAAAAAATTGTAAATCTACAACTTTAAAAAAAAATAAAATAAAATAAAGGGAAAAAAAAAGGAAAGAAAAAAAAAAGAAAAAAAAATAAAATAAAGGGAAAAAAAAATTTTTTAATTAAAAAAAAAAAAAGTAGGCCTGGCCCTTAGTCCCAGAACTGAGGGATATGGCTTCTATAAAAATTTTTACAAAAAAAATTGTAAAAATTTTAAACATATTTGCAACAATTTTTTTTATTACCAATAAGATATATTTAACAATTTGGCCATTAAATTTTATAAAAATTCAAAAGTTAGGGACTGGAGAGATGGTTCAAAGAGCCAGGGCACATGCTTTGCATGAGGAAGACTTGGGTTAGGTCTTCAGCACTGCATGGTCCCCTGAGCCTCACCAGGAATGGGCCCCCAAAACACCATCAAACAAAATTGATAATTACAATTAAGTATACAATACAGAGTCCATGTCCAGTTCTTTCCCTGCAGACAACCACTGCTACCAGTTTGTTGCACGGCTTGGGTGTCACCCCACAGTTTTCTATGACTCACAAAACTTGTTTCTAGTATTGTTACTATAGTGTAGAAGAGTATAAATTAGTGTGATACAGTACAATACAATATAGTATAGTATCACATGGCATAGCTTAGCACAGTATAGTATAGTATGGGACATAAAGCATTAAGTATATTACAGTATATATATACATATATATATATTACAGTATAGTGTAGTAAGGGGCATTTTTGAGGCATCATCATCATGGGAAGGACAGGAATGAACAGGAGCAAGAAGAGGTACCTCTTTTGTGGTAGCTTGTAGCAGATTTGACATAAAGAGATTAATCATCCCCATTTCCATATTAACATACATAAAGATAAACTACATTTTATTATTTAGTTTGGATTCTACTATGCCGGTATAAACACATGCGTTGAATGCAAACACACACACACACACACACACACTACACCAACTCAGAACAGACGATGTGTTTACTACTCTGAGATTAAACTAGCAGAATCTGTCTTATTAATTTTTTTTGAATTTCATTGTGATTACATTTAAACAATTGTATATGAGTATTACAAAATATTTAAGCAAATGAAATAGTTGACAGAGTAGATTAACCACTTTTTGTTTACTTCCTTAGAGAACATCTTACCTCACTGCTGCTGATGCTTTGCAAGATTATATTTTGTTTTTTAGTAACTATTGAATCAGTTGGAGAAGAATTTGTATCATGACAAATGTCTAGCAATGATTCAGCATGTTTTTCTGCCAAAAGAAACATAATAATATGTTTTGATAAGACTCATCTCCAGCAATTTCACAGAAAGTTCCATCTCTAGGTTCTAAATTCAGATTCATTTTGCAAAAAGATTTTACCAAAACAGTGGCTGGACAAACTGATTAAAAGCTTTGGGCAATAATTTCCCCAGGAAGGGGAATACAAGAAAAATACAAGATACAACAAAAATCTACATTAGAAATGAACTACTCTTTGTTTTTAAAGGAAATTAGACATGCAGACCACAATGCCCCAAAGCAGAGAGAGGGAGAGAGAGAGAGAGAGAGAGAGAGAGAGAGAGAGAGAGAGAGAGAGAGAAGAAAAGCACCAGCCAAAGAGGCAGGCAAGGGGTGGGGGACAAAATTGTCAAATAAAATTCCTCTTCATGGGCTGAAAATTACGTTTTGCTCTCTAGTTGTTAAGAACAGAAGTACTCAGCTACTCTAGCACCTTCCTGGCTAGCACTTGAAGACACATTAAATTGACAAAATAGCAGAGCGGTAGGGCGTTTGCCTTGCACGCAGCCAACATGGCCGACCCGAGTTCGATTCCTCCGCCCCTCTCGGAGAGCCCGGCAAGCTACCGAGAGTATTCGATATGCCAGACACAGTAACAACAAAGTCTCCAATGGAGACGTTACTGGGCCCGCTCGAGCAAATCGACGATCAACGGGAGGGCCTTTACCTTACCTTTACCTTTACCTTACCCGAGTTCGATTCCTCCGCCCGTCTCGGAGAGCCCGGCAAGCTACCGAGAGTATCTCGCCTGCACGGCAGAGCCTGGCAAGGTCCCCGTGACGTATTCGATATGCCAGACACAGTAACAACAAAGTCTCCAATGGAGACGTTACTGGGCCCGCTCGAGCAAATCGATGATCAACGGGAGGGCCTTTACCTTTTACCTTACCTGAGCATTCACTAGTGAATTCCCAGCTAGTTCCTCAGAAGCCCTGCTCTCATCTGCATCTTTTTTTCTCTTCTAAGAGAAGCTTGAGATCTATCTATCTGAAAATGTCTTCCCCTTCCAATGGCTCTCTCATTTATCTTGTAGCTGAAACAAAATTGAGCCCGTTTATTCTCCATTACTCTTTGCAATGTATCTTCTGCTTCTGTCTTACAGATTTCTGACTTCTTGGCACTCTCACCACCTCACTGATCTCACCCACTTACCAATTCACAGGTCCTCACAATTTCCTTTCATAAAGACGTTGCAAAATAACTTTATCAACTCATCCTTTCTCACAAGTCAACTTACAAATAATCGTCACTTGACAGTCCCCAAGTTCCATCATATTTTAAATGTCCAGCTATTAATAACCTCTTAAAACCAGGATGTTCTCCCATTTGTTGCTTGAATTTCTATCTCTCCACTTCTGAAATTTTGGTATCATCTTTGGCAGGACTCTCTCAGCTCTTCTGTAGATCTCCTCTATTAATCTTTCTTTAAGTGGGGAGGGAACCCCTGGTTGTGCTCAGGACTTACTCCTGGCTCTGTGCTCAGGGTTCATTTCTGGCAGTGCTTGGGGTACTGTACATAGTGCCAGGGATCAAACCTGGGTTGGTCATGTGCAAGGCAATTGCCTACACCCCTGTACTATCTCTCTGGCCCTCCTCTATCAATCTTCTATCACTAATTTTTTCAACCTCTTCCATAATCTCTCAGACTTCCTGTACACAGCAACTCTCAGACAGGCCATCAATAGCCCAAGGCCATCATTCCCGGTTCCTATCACAAGGATGCTTCTGTTGTTTTTCATAAAGTTCCCTGCTATGTGCCTTTCCCCCAATTTACATCCTATATGATAAACGATTTGTCTTAACCATGATTTTCTTCTATTCCTTGACTGAAAATTCTTTGGGGATCATTTTGTTGGAGAACCACAACAAAAATCTACAGAAGAAATGAACTACTTTTTGTTTTTAAAGGAAATTAGACATGCAGACCACAATGCCCAAAAGCAGAGAGAGGGAGAGTGTCTTTCACAATGGCATTAAAACCTCTCTCCTCAGTAGACGCAGTTTCTGAACCCCTGCGACCTTTTATATTTCTTTCCTAAACTTTCAGTTCTTTTCTCCTGGTTGCCTCAGAGAGAAGCCATGTTCATTTATAGTATGTGCTGCTCTTCTCAAGGACTGAATTGAGTCTCATTTCTTCCCTGAAACCTTCTGAGCGTTAGCTTGCTATCTGTACAGAGGCTTCACCCCAAAAAAACATGAATCAAGTTTTTTTCTTTTTAGGTCACACCCAGTCATGCACAGGGGTTACTCCTGGCTCTGCACTCAGGAATTACTCCTGGTGGTGCTCGGGGGACCATATGGGATGCTGGGGATCAAACCTGGGTTGGCCGGGCGCAAGGCAAATGCCCTGCCTGTTGTACTATAGGTCTAGCCCCTGAATCAAGGTATTGTTTCACAAAATCACACATTGCTAAATAGCATTAAAATTTGTGTGTGACATTTATTTTGTCATTTTATTGTTCAATTTTATTGTCATTTTCATCAGTAAGATGACACTTAGCTTCCAAAAAGTGAACCTATTACGGATCAAACTTGTCAGTAACTTCCTTGGTAACATATTTGTTTAATATTAAGTAGCTTTGCTCCTGCTGCAGTGGCAGGTCCATAGTGCTGTCAGAGAGCAAGAACAAATAGCATTTTGGTTTTAACTATATCTTTCTCTTTCTTTGTTGCCATTTCTAAGTCATGACTTGGTATCCTATGGCCACCTCTATCAAACCTCTCTTTTTCTCCTGCTTTCTTAGCTTTTCCGACCTTCAACCACCACATATGTTCCTCCTCCCCTTGAAAGCTCATAATCAACTCTTTCTTTGTCCTCTGACTTAAGTCATCTATGCCTTGTGATCTGAAAGAGAATCTAAACATTTTTGTTTTATTATGTTTATACTCTCCCCCGCACTCCATCCCAGGCAGTAGTCAAGCAGCCTGAGGTCTATCCTGAAGATTTGTAGTCATTCAGTCAGGAGGGCCTGAGGTGCAATGTGAAGGCCTGAGGATGTAGTGCTACCTGGATGTGGTACCAGAGGCCAGTAGGGTCACACCCTGTAGTGTTGATACTCAGGAGACCGTTCAGTGCCAGGGTTTGAGCCAGGGTAGGGAACATACAAAACATGCACCTCACCCTTTTACCATCTCTGAAGCCCCCATCCTGAAGACTTACCAAACTGGTCCATACTGCAGTCCACTTTGCATCTCCCAGAACACCTGTGCATAGGCCTTGTGCAGAGTCATTGTTCAATAAATAGCTCAATAAGTATCACTTCAATATGTAGTTTTAAAAAATTATTATGAGCCGGGCCATAGCTCAAAGGACTCAAGTACATGCCCTGAATTTGATCCCGATACTGCATGGCCCTTAAGTACTGCAGGGAGTGACTCACCTCCAGGTACCACCAATGTAAAAAACAAAATGGAAAGCAAACAAGTTTGATTTCTTTAAATTGATCTATAAAATATATCAGAAAAAATTTTCAATAGGGATTTGTAGTTGGGGAATTTAGCAAATGGAAGAGAAATATTTACCTGGTTTGGGTATAGAGTTCATTAGAATGTCCAATAACTGTTGTTTCTTAAAGCTCTCTATTTGTGACACATAATGTATTGCGGATTTTCCACTAAAATCACAGAGTTTAGGATCTCTAGGAAGAATGGAATCAACATCAAAGATTATTTAGTCAGATTTGCTGGAAAAAGAAAACCAATATGACAGGAAAACATTTGCATTAAATTTTAGTAGTTTGGGGAGAGCAACAATTTAAAAAATCTATGAGATGGAAAATGACAGTTTTTAAAGATTTTTTTTTAAAAATGTGTTTTATATATTATTCCCATTTCCATTCTTAAAAATTTTTATTGGCATAAAATTACCATGTTTAGACAAAGGGTTTATAATTATTTAAGATATATAAATCAAATAAATAAGAAACACCTTAATAAATTGTTTTATTCACATTCTAAATAGCTAACTAAAATAGTTTTCTCTTTCCAATGATTTAGTTAACTGCTTACTCTTTTTTTCCAAATACCAACAGCTACTTTATTTATTAACCCAAATGGTGGAATAATACCAGAAATCTCTCTCTTTGAAATTAGGTTGACAGAGAGATCGTGCAGGGTTATGGTGCTGTATTGCTTTTCGCTGACTTAAGTCTGATCTCCACATGGTGCTCAAGAAGTGACCCAAGAGTACCACCAGGTTTTACCCGAAATTACTCCTTGTCCTAATTAGATTGATTTGCTTATTTCACAGACTTTAGATTGAGGGGAATCACCTTATCATATAAATCCCTGTCTATGTGATCTTTTCATTCCTATTGCCTTGCCATGGGTTCTTAAGGCCAACTGGCGGGTCTTAGAGTTTGATTTCTGTAACATTGTGGCCCCTTGCACACAATTGGTAGAGACCTTGAGCCCTGAGCCCTGAGTAGCCCCTGGAACTGACAGGAGTGACCCCAAAACAAAACAAAGATCACTGTGAGGGAAACAATGATTAAACCTGCATCACTAGTCAATTCTGCAAAAAAAATAAGTTGATCATAGTCTTTAACCTGAACATTTTTATCATGAATATTTTTCTTGCTATGGGGCAAAGTAAATGTTTCATGGTCTGCAACAATATTCTCTCATAACCTTTACTTCATCAAAATCTGCTATTAAAAAGAAATAGCACAAGATCAAGAATGGAGGGATTGAACCTTCATTATTATTGAACCTTAACCAAATACCCTCACATTGAGACCTCAATTTGTTAATGGGCTTTGATCTGTGTTTTTCCATGTGGAATCCACTTGCCTCCAAGTTTTGGGCTCGTTCTACTGAACACCATCTCTAAGGTGATGCTTTGTAATCATCATTTTCAACAATCTCCTCAGCAGTGTCTGATCACTAAAGTCTGAGGTAGCTTCAAACTTCCATCTTCATCTTTTAATAACTGGTCTGTGTTTTTGACTATTCATTTTTTTTACTTTCAGAAAAAAATTTTTTAAATATAATAATGTAAACTGGATATTTTCCTAAAACTTTTGTAGGGAATTGGGAAGTAGATTCAAATTTCTTGGGATACAACAGCAATTTGATAACACTTCCTGTTGGCTCTCTCAATAGCTGCTTCCCTCTTCAACATTCTCTCCGCCGATTGTGTCTTCTCTGTCTGGCTCCTCATGTATCCTCTTGTAAGTCCCTCAGTCAGTTCAGAAGCTTAGCTCTTTATCCTCGCTTTCATTTTTTTTTTAATTAGTGAAGCACCATGAGGTACAGTTGTAGATTTACAAATCTTTGTGCTTGAGTTTCGGTCATACAATGATCAAATACCCATCCCTCCACCAGTGCCCATTCCACCACGCCCCCCCCCCCCCCCCCCCCGCCTCTGTGGCAGGGCATTCCCCTTTGTTCTCTCTCTCCTTTTGGGTGTTGTGGTCTGCAAAAGAGGCATTGAGTGGCAATCTTGTTCAATCTATAGTCTACTTTCAACATGCATTTCCCCTCCTGGGAGGATCCTCCAAACACCCTTTATTTGGTGTTCCCTTCTCTATCTGAACTGCCCTTTCCCCTAGAATATCCGGCTGGCCTCTAAGCTATGGAGTAATCCTCCTGGTGTTGATCTCAGCTATTCTTAGGTATTGATCTCATATTTTGTTGCTTTATATCCCCCAGATGAATGCAATTTTTCTATGTCTATCCCTCTCTTTCTGACTCATTTTGCTTAGCATGATACTTTCCATATTGTACCACTTGTATGTAAATTTCATGACTTCATCTTTTCTAAGAGCTACATAGTACTCCATTGTGTAGATGTACCAAAGTTTCTTTAACCAGTCATCTGTTCTTGGGCACTCAGGTTTCTTCCAGTTTCTGGCTATTGTAAAGAGTGCTGCAATGAACAAACAAGTGCAGATGTCACTTCGACTACACATTTTTGCCTCTCTGGGGTATATTCCCAGGAGTGGTATTGCTGGGTCAAATGGGAGAAACGTCCATACTGTTTTCCAAAAGGGCTGAACTAGTCGGCATTCCCACCAACAGTGAAGGAGTGTCCCTTTCTCGCCACATCTGCGCCAGCATCGGTTGCTTTTGTTCTTTTGAATGTGGGCCAGTCTCTGAGGTGTGAGATGGTATCTCATTGTGGTTTTGATCTGCATCTCCCTGATGATTAATGATGTAGAGCTTTTTCTCATGTGCTTTTTTGCCATTCGGGTTTCTTCTTTGAGAAAGTTTCTGTTCATTTCATTGCCCCATTTTTGGATGGGGTTGGATGTTTTCTTCCTGTGGAGTTCCACCAGTATTTTGCATATCCTTGATATCAACCCCTTGTCAGGTGTGTGTTCGGTGAATATCCTTTCCCATTCTGTAGACTGTCTTTGTATTTTGGTCACTGTTTCTTTGGAGGTGCAGAAGCTTCTTAGTTTAAGATAGTCCCATTTACCTATCTCTGTTTTCACTTGCTCGGCCAGTGGCGTGGCATCTTTGAAAGTACCATTAGCCTCAATGTCATGGAGGGTTTTGCCAACTTTGTCTTCAATGTACCTTACGGTGTCTGGTCTGATGTTGAGGTCTTTAATGCATTTTGATCTTATTTTTGTACATGGTGTTAGGCAGAGTTCTGAGCCCATTTTTTTGCATGTAGCCGTTTGACTATTCATTTGTTCTTGAAACCCCCTTCCCCTTTTCCCCAAGATAAAGCCCATATAAAATACTGATAAAGTACTTAGACAATCTGTTTTTACTTGATAATAAGCTATGTGGGCAGCAAACAGCATCAGAAAACTGCTATTTTAATGTGAGAAATTGCATATTAGCCCTGTGATTAAAAATAAGCTATTTAGACCACAACACCCAAAAGGAGAGAGAGAACACAGGGGATTGCCCTGCCACAGAGGCAGGGGGGATGGGGGAATGGGGGTGGGGGGGATACTATCCATGGTGGTGGAAAATGGGCACTGGTGGAGGGATGGGTATCTGATCATTATATAATCGAAACCCAAGCACAAAAAATTGTAAATCTACAACTGTACCTCATGGTGTTTCACTAATAAAAAAAATAAATTAAAAAAAAAGAATAACAGAAAGAGAGAAACTTAAAAAAATAAGCTATTTATTTCCATTTCCATAAAAAGATGTTGGCATAAAGTTATTTTTAGATAACTGGAAATCACTTCAGTGAATTAGTTTTGATATATTACCAATGCTTCCTGAAATAATGAGTAATATCTTGGAGGTAAGACTTTGTATAGTCTTGTATAATCAAGAATTACTTAATATTCCTGTTAACTATCACAATATTGTTTAGCACTGTAGTCTCATTGTTCATCGATTTGCTCGAGCAGGCACCAGTAATGTCTCCATTGCAAGACTTGTTGTTACTGTTTTTGGCATATCGAATACACCACAGGGAGTTTGCCAGGCAATGCCCTGTGGGCGGTATACTCTCAGTAGCTTGCTGTGCTCTCCAAGACGGATGGAGGAATCAAACTCAGGTCGGCCACATGCAAGGCAAACACCCTACCGGCTGTGCTATCACTCTGCTACAATAATGTTTACTTAAAGAAAATCAAACCAAAAAGAAAGTGCCAATATCTTTTTGTTCGTTTGTTTGTGGGCCACACTGACTATGTTCCAGCCTACTCCTGCCTCTGTGCTTGGGGCACCACGTGTGGTACCAGGGATCAAACCCAGGTAAGCCATGTGCATGGCAAACACCTTACCTGCTGTACTAACTCTCTGACTCAGGGACAATACCATAAAAATGTTTTTTATTAAGACACTATGATTCACAAAGTTATTTATAGTAGAGTTTCAGTCATATAGTGTTCAGTATCAATTCCACCAATGTCAACTTCCCTCCACCAGTGTCCTGAGTTCCTTCCCACCTCCCAGCCTGCCACCTTGACAGGTGTCTTTTTAAGTTTGTTTTTGTCATTTGGATCTTCTGTTTCCAGTTGTTTCTGTGATTTAAACAACATGAACCCAAGGCCTCTGCCCCCTGCCCCAGGACCACTATCTTAAGAAGAACAGCTAGCAGCATCTGATATCTGAATATTCCTTTGCAATTGTACTGTCCTTTAACAGATAGGCATGAATATTTAATATACCACTTAAAAAAATCTACCCTTGAACTGGACCCTCCTACTCACGCGTGGTGCCTGAGAAGCTCGGACAGGACTTCCACAGGTCTGTAGACTGTTAACATATCAAGACTCTCAAACAGGTCCACGTCTCTCACAGCCAGCATCAAAGGGGTCAAGCCATGTTGGTTGGGGAAATTAATATCCAGGAGCTCTTCTGATGACTTGAAAAACATGAAGCTTTGCTTCAGTTATGTTTTTACTGCATAACTCCTTACCTATTTCATTTGCGGGGCCTCCCCACCAGTACCCTGGGGCCACCATGGCTTTGAAGGGCAGGACTGGGCAGGTCATGCAGTGCTGGGAATACAATCTGGGCCTGTGACAGGCACATGCACCAACACTTTGACCCCTGCCCCAACCCCCACTGCCTGATTGTCAGGATTTTTTTGTTGTTGTTTATTTTCTTTTTTGCCTTTTAAAAAAATTGATTGAGGTT